CGTTTGATATTTTCTCTAGTTCTCTAAGTTTTTACATTTAAACCAATTTTTATAACATAACTTCTTATATTTTATCTTTTCTTGCACATTATTATTCCACCACCAACTATTTTTATTTGTAAATATTTTTCCCTTTGATTCTCCAAGAACATCTTTTGCTACATGTTTAATAGCGTTTGTTACTTTATCCCACATCACATTTGCTTCTTCATGAATATCCCAAATTTTGAAATCTTGAATTTTACTCATAAAATTAATTTTATTTGTATCTTTTAAGTTTCTCCATCTAATTCTGCAATGATGAGTCCTGGTATTTTTTATTTTACAACTCTTAATCTTAAAATCTAAAACTAATAAACGATGTTGGGTATTTAAATTTTCACTTGGAATGACTTTACAATCTTTACAATCATGACGATCTCTTCTTCTCATAAGAAAATAATCAATTTGTGTTTTATTAGATCCACTCTTATAAGTAATAAGATGTTCATCCCTTTTCTTGAATAAAGTATTAGTAATAACACAATCAAATGCTAAAGCAAAATCTAAAACAACAAAGCCTTCTTCATTAGTTACTCCAAAACCGTAGCCACCATGAATATTTCTGAAATGTTCTACCACTCTACCGACATGTCCATTTAAATCTCCTCCAATAAAAATTCTTTCTTCAAGAGGTATCATTTGTATTAAGTTTTCTAAGTCATTCCAAAATTTATCTTTAGACTCTGTATCTAAACCTACTTGAGGAGCATAAACACTTATAATATTAAAAATCTTAGTATCAATGATAATCTTAAGGGCTATAATTCTATCACCAACTCTATTAATTTTTACAACATTATCTTTCAAACTCTTATCTATAATTACACCTACACCATTTCTAGTGCGACTCTTACCAGAATACCAAAGTTTAAAACCTAAATTATCAATCTCCTTAGCCTTTTCTCCCACCCACTTAGTTTCTTGAATACATAAGATATTAATTTTCCTATGAATCATAATATCAACTAATTCCATTAATTTACCATTGAGAGTGCCTATATTCCAAGATCCTATCCTAATATTAGTTTCATTAGTTTCATGGACTAACTTCTTTACCCGCATTCGCCCGTAATGTGGGAACCCTTGCTTATTTAACACTACACCCGGGCGCCGGTGTAGCGGCCCTTGCACACTTTTCACTGTATTCAGGCTATACAGCGCGTCGCTTCCAGGGGACGCCCTAGCACTTACACAATGATCAAAAGGATTCATGTCATGATTTTTTCGACAAGTTTTACGCTGGCTGTAGACTACCTAACGCAACCCTCCACTTTTCTCATCCGGGCTTGGGACCGGCAACGGCAGTGTTTATGAATAATAAAATTATCATGGTTGTAGTAATCAAGAATACTGAAACCAAAATACATTATTGGTGCTTGTTTTTCTTAGTGTATTAAAGAAAAAATATTCTGTGATGGGAATGCATTCTAATAGCATAATTAGAAGATTTTTTTAAACTGTTATCGGATGTGAAGAAAAAAAAAAACTAAACTGATCATCAACATTACAAAAAAAAAAAAATGGAGTTGACCCTTCTTCATCATCAACTCATATATAATAATCTTTCTCACTTATGATGCATGGATACTTTTGATTAAGGAATTGTACACTGTTGAATGTGCCTTGGATAGAGACATGTGATTGACATGCCCCATATATGTGTCGGTCACTGCCCCACCGTGTCTAATTTAAATAATATTTAAAAAATTAGAACACGCTTGCCACGTCTTTTGATAATTTAATTTTTTTTGAAAAATATTTTCTAAACAATAAACATATATGATATACATTTTATAATAGAATAAAAAATTAATTATTTAAATTAAATGTTATACATATTCAAATCTATATTATTATTCATTAAATTGAAAGTGAATGTTTAATAAAATTTATAAAAATTAATGTTATTAATTTTTTTTTATTTTTTCTTTTGTATTACTCTTAATTCCGATGTTTGTCTGTCTTACATTTTCATCAATAGAAGTGTCCCTTGGCCATGTCGTGTTGTGGCCTTGTGTCTGTATCCATGCAACATAGGTGTATCCGTATGCAAGCAACATAGTTCTTCACCTTCATCTTTTTGAGATAAAGTAGTTTGTTCCATTTGATCCCCAATGTCTTGTAATAACAATGGTTCATGGGGTGTTATGAGATATTAAAATTGCCATTTTGTGTTATTGATTAGTATGAATCTTATATTATTGCTTTACTCAAGTTTTTTCATTTAGGCCAGCATTTGGCGCATGATATGATCTTTAATTTGAATTTTGAGGAGGATAATGTTGTGTGGCTTACAACAATATCTTATGTACCAATTCCTTGCTTGTATGTCTTACAACAATATCTTATGTACCAATTCCTTGCTTGTATGGCTAGATCCTTGTGTTGGGATAAGAACATTTAGTATATCCATCTTTCCTCTTAAACATATATTTACATAAGGGTGAACGAGCTTGTAACGCTCTTACATTATTCTCTTCTTCCAAATATTTTTCCTTTAAATTTAATGATACCAAATTAAAATTATGGTCCATGCTCATGCTGTTTTTTTTTCTTAGGTTTATGTTTTTTTTAGATATTTGCTCATTCATTTTATTTAATTCTAATGTTGTTTTTGCTGTTGGTTTTGTTTTAACGGCTCAAGAACCTTTCTTTTAAGGAGATTTAGCCCCTCTATAATTGTGTTTGATATTTAACTAATTGTTGGGATGCTAGATGTAAACATTCAAAATTCTATTTTTATGCACTTTTTAGCTCAACCTTACGAGTGGACACTAATCAACTTATTATGACACTATGATGGACAAACGATGGGAATATCTAGTGGGAAATAATTGTTAGGAAAGGCGATGCTTTGAGCTACCAACTCATCTACTTGATTGGACTAGTGCGCCATGTCGAGCTTCCTTGCGACCCACTAGGTGTTGCTCTATGTGTAGTTTCCTCTTTGATGCATGCTTTGGTTGCTCTTTGATATGTAAGTTAAGAGTCAATATGATTCATGTTTATAGTTAGCGTCATGACCAAATTTGGAAGTAGTTGGGCAGTTTTAAAAGTTAGTTAAAGTAGCATTTAGGTAGGCGTTGCATGTAAAGGAACTTGACTTCTCTATGCCAGTATTGGAGCACATCACCAACTGTGATACTAGAGTTTGACCCATACAACAGTAAAAAAAAATCAAATATTATTGATAATGTCAAAATAGAGAGATATAATCTCACAAATAAAAATTGAAAGATTAACAAACATGACACAACAAACTGAAACTAGGGTGAATCTTGGAATGTTGGTGGTGATTGACAGGGTTTTGGTCCTCCCGAGAGGTAGTGAAGAGTGGCTAAAGGGATGGAATTCTTGGCAGAAACAAGGTGTAGGCAACCGCGTGGGGGAGTGCGAAGCTTTAAGAACAACAAACTGTTGCTGTCCTGGGCGGTGATATAGATGTCAAGTGTTGTTGCTTTCTTGGCAACAAGTTGCAGAAAGTGGGGTCTGGAAATCGGGGAAATGGCCGTCCTTGGTTGCTACAATAAGGGAGGGCGGGGATAGTGAAGGGGAGGAGCTCATCATGTAAAGAAGTTGGAATGAGAGAACGAATTGTTGGTTAGCTGGAAAAATGGAAAAAAACTGGGAACAAATATTTTCGAGCGGTTGCAGTGAGGGGGAATGTCGGTGGCAACGAGGAGAAATGCGGGGGAGACAACAAGAGGACGATTGTCTGGGGTGGCAAGGATGACGACATGTTGCTGGAATTGGAAAAAATGTAGAGAAAACAACAATGTGGGAATGTTAGGGGGCGAATGCCACAATGGAAGGTGGTCGGGAGCAATGTGGGGAGGATGCAAATAGGAATGGAAAGGATAATCACCACTTTAGGAGCGAGATATTGCCAGTGCACCCTCAAACCTTTGGATACACCTCTATAGGGGAGAAAGATACACCGACAGTTGTCTTGACAGAAACCCAAAAAAAATGAGAATTCAAATCTTAATACAAGACATATATAAGAAATGAATAGAAAGGAAGGAACAACTAAATGAAACTCTCTTAAAAATATAAAGAACATTTCTAAGGTTTTTGGTTCGGTCTTCCCGTAGCCGCGGAAGCCGCATCTAGAGTCCCACATTAAAATCGGGGAAACAGTTTTCCTTGGTTGCGGGCAACAAGGGAGGATGGGTACAGCGAAAGGGATTGAGTTTTAATTGTATTCAAGTTGTGGATTCATTTTTTAACTGTTTGAGTAATAATTGAGCTTTAATCTATCTATATCTAAGATGCAAATGATTTGAAATATAATATTATTACTGAGCATAATATATTCAAAAAATAAATCAAGATATCCTAGCAAATATTTAAATTAAATTGAAAACTACCCAACAAGCTATTTTCCTAATATTTCCAATATAACTGTAAGATATTTAATGATTCTCACTCGTTTATTCCTTTGTGTTTGAATTGATTTCTTGTGTGTATCGAAAGTTCATTTCTTCAGCTCTGGTCTATCTGATCGTATTTATAAACAAGAAAAAAATTACTTTTCTACTTATTCCTAAATCTGTTAAGAGGATTTTTAAGTAGGTTTGATTGCTCATCGTTTTCTAAACCTTGGAGTTAATTTTGTTATTGACCATAAGCAAGCAATGGCATATCTTTCTATATCATCAGCCTTGCGTACATGGATCCATTTTTTGTGAGCGTTAAGCATCCGTTTCTTCCACCTTGTAACCTACTAACAAGAAAGCATTAATTTTTGCTTATTCATCAAGATTTTGTTTATTTTTAAAGTCATAATTGATATTAAGCATAGCTCTTAACTTGAAATTTGTGTTAATGATTCATGAAGGTGTACATAAATGGTTGGGAAATAAGGGAGAAATTTTATAGTCTGTTTTGGCTCATATCTTCACTGGTTTGCTTTAAGAATCAATGTCCTACCTTCATTTGGCTGCCATTTTCTTGCTGTTTTTTATAACTTTTCATGAGCGAAAGTTGGTTTTATCCTACCATTTTGTTTGTGTTGTAGCTGTAAAAATTTTGTTGTCCTACTTTTTCAAAAAGGAAATATTTATAATACTTGTCTTTTAAAGAATTGCTTTCCCTATGATAACATTACAACTATCTTTACAAAAAGTTGTAACAGTTGTAATAAACCCCATTGTTCGTAAAGCTGCTACTAGTTAATTTATACCAATGCTGTTGTTATTCCTTCCAAGGTATTGTTTTAATTGGTGCTGGGTGGGTGCTCATGTGCTCGATAATTTTTATTTATTTATTGTATGTTTACTTTTGTTTGGATCTCATTGTTGTTCCTCTTGAATCTTGTTTGAATATGATCATTTTTGGGATGGAGATATCTACCAATTTTTTTTTTTTCCGGCTATTCCTTGATACTCTATAGATTTAACAGTTGTAATTTAGTTTAAAAATGCAGTTTATGATTTTAATTCTATTTTATTGTTATTTATTTGTATTTCAGGATATGGCATGCGATACTTTTCTGAAAATTGTTCAAAAATGTAAGCGGAAATTTATAATTACACAGGTATGTTATTGTCTGGCCTGTATTTGTGGTCTAATTTTATTTCTGAATGTTCTAATATAATGTGGCCTTATTTATAAATTATATTTTTTTAAATATTTTTTGGTAGGTACCTTTATTTTATGAGGGAAAACAATTTCAATATAGTAACTATTTTTTGTAGTTTATTTATAAAGTATGTTAATTTCAAGATATTTGTAGTCTGGATGCGCTACCCAGCTTTGACATGCTTTGCAAGAGCAAAGCTTAATTTAAAATTTGTCGAGCAAATTTCCTTGCTGTGATGATCACAGATTTTGGCTATTTATTACTGTTGATAAGATGAGTGGGGGCAACATTGTGTAATGCTGAATTCATTTAATTTCAACTTATTTTTAATCTTGATGCTACCCGACCTTGACATGCTTTGCAGGAGCAAGCTTGATTTGAAATTTGATGAGTATATTTGCTTGCTTTGATGTTCACAATTCTGGCAATTCCTTACTGCTGCTAAATTAACTGGCCGCAAAATGCTTGTCTGTCAAATGAAAAGAAATAAAGAAGGGGGTGCTCTTCTTTCTGTTATTCATTTGATCTCAAGCAAGTGAAAGCTTAGTTCAAGCTCAAGTTTTCATCCCTTTGAACCAAAATGAACTATACTGATTGTTGTGGCTCAAGCTTAGAATCATGTATGATAGAAAATTGAATTGAGCCGATTTTACTCTCTTGAACCTCCAACCAAGGCAATATGCAACCTTCTTTTTGGTGGCTTCTCATGCAAGAGGTTTGGTAATTGCTTGCCTTGTATGCCTAGCCGAAGTATTTCTTTGATTGTTATGGTGTGTCCCCTTGCAGAAGTTCATTTAGCTTGTGTGTGTGGACTGCACCCAACATAAAGGCTTGAAACTTATGACATACCCTAAAAAGCATTGCGCTTGAAACCAGTTTAAATGCTAGACTTAGTTTCCTTTATTATTTATAGAAAATATGTTGCAGAACTTGTAGTTGCTTTTGAAGTGTGCATCAAAGGCTTCTGACCTGTTTTGTGCTTGCCTTTGGAGTGTGCATCAAGCTTGCGACTGAGGAGTTGCAGTGGTGGGCTTCTAGTGGGTAATTAGATGATTATTGCAGTGTGTTTTGATGCTTTGTTGAGTTTGTGTCGGTATAGTGTATTTTTGGGTGTAGTTTTTTTCATCATCTACTTTTTTTTTTCCTACTTTTTTTTATTGTTATTATTATTGTTTTTTTTAAGGGGAGTCTTTGTTTATGGATAGGTGATTTGAGGCATGTGAAAAGGTATTTGATTTATTTTTTCTATATAAAAATTTCACTAGATGTTTAATTCCTTTACACTTTGACCAATTAGGGGACTGAAGATTTTGGGAGAGATTATGTCTTTGTTCCAAAAACAATATAAGCTTGATTGTATGGCTTATTTTCTGGTACTTGATTTCTTTTTTAAATCTATTTATTGTTTTACATGAGTGAAAGTTAAATACAATTTAGTTTTTTAGGAGTGCATAATTTCCAATAATTGTATGATTTAATACAATTATATATTTCTAACCTTTCATTTCTTAGAAGTTGGAATTGTTTCATGCATGGAGATTCGTAGTGTTTTTTAATCTTAGTTGCAGAATAGTTGTCAAAGTGTCTATTAATTTGAATTCATGAGTGATTGAATTTATTTAAGTAAAATACAGTTTAGTTTTCTAGGAATGCATAATTTCCAAGAATTGCATGATTTATCATAGTTCTATATTTCTAAACATTCATTTCTTAGAAGTTGTAATTTTTTATGCGTGGAGATTCTTAGTGTTTTTAAACCTTAGTTGCTGTCAAGAGACTATAAATTTGTATTGTATAATATGTGGTGTTATCATAACTGCATCGAGAAATTTCAGATTCTAAGACATCTTGCATTAAATTTTGGTTATTGAGCATAGTTTTATCGTGATGTTTTTTTGGACAGGACACTATAATTAGTTTAGTTTTTAAATAATAAAGCTTTGCAGTTTAAATGAAATGAATGTGACTATCCAAGTTTATGGAAGTTTTGAGAGAGTCAGTGTTAGATTAGTAGTAAGAGAGTAACAATCTGATGAAATAGACTATCAAGAAGCATTTGTCCTACTGGGAGAAAATGGATGCATTTCATTTCTTCGTATCTTTGGCTACTTTGGATTTTAATGCAATAATATGATGAAAAAATGACTTAATGTGGTGCTGCTGAATAAAATTGTATGGTTCATCCATCCATTAGGATTCAACAAAAATTTTCCCCCAAAAAGTCTAGCACGTAAACTAAGAAGGACTATATGGGTTGGAATTATATTTGGGGGCATGATTTGGAAGATCCATGAATGTCATGTGTGGAATACAATATTGACAAGGCCAAAGTGATTGTACTCTTTTTATAAAATGGCTTAAAGGAATAGTGGGAATTCGTATTGTATATTGGACATATGATGTTGATGAAGAGGAGGACTTACTTGGTAAAAAGGGGGAAAAATACTCATTGTAGAATTTCAGAAGAAAGATTTTGACAAGCTCATTTACATCCATATAAGTGACTCAGAAAAAAAGGATCTTTACTCTTAACAAAGTATGTCATATTTCTGTTAAGTGAAACAAAATGGTAGACTATAAGTCATGTAAACTTTGATGGAACCAGTGAAACAAAATGGTAGACTATAAGTCATGTAAACTTTGATGGAACCATATTAGAAATTTATCTTTGAAGAGTAGATGTCTAGAAAGGGTAATATGAATAATCTGTTGGTAAACTAATTTTTCTATTCCATATAAACTAATTTTTCTATTCCATATTGCTTCTAGCTATTGCATTTGTGGTAATCCTTATAAGTCAATTTATGCATCTAATTATAGGTTTATTAGATATTTGGAAAGAAAATTTTCAATAAAAAACATCGAAGTTTAAAACTTCCAAGGTATACTGATATTATGTAGGATTGTCGGTTGATGTTTGATGGAAGATCATCATCAGAATTACATATTATTTAGAGGAAATCTTGTAACATCGAAAGATATGGAAACTACACATGGTCTCAAGTTGTGCGTAATCTGAGGTTAGAGCAATTGCTCAATGAATCTGCACTCCACTGATTGAAAATTATACTAACGGTTTTGAAGGTTAAAAGGGAAGGACTTACTATATTGTACTGTGATTTATGTCTACAATCAGTATTTCCCACTGCAGTTAAGTTTGACCTAACTAAACCATGGAGGTGGATAGAATTTTCATAAAAGAAAAATTGGAGAGTATTGATTATACTCTTTATGTTGTCCCAACAGCTTGTCAACTTGATATATTTACCAAAAAATTATTTTAATCCTGCTTTCAAAAATAATTTGAAAGAACTTGAATGTTGACCTCTACCAACTAGTTTGAATGGTTAATGTTGAGGAATGTGGGTTTTTTTGCTGCAACGTTTATGGTGGAAGGAGCATATACGTGTAAACTAGCCCCATAGTTTCAACATCGAGCAAAATGGCAAGATAACAATCCGCTTTTTCAGGCAAGAACAGAAAGGCTTGCTGGATTTTCAAGCCGGAATTAATTACACCGGTTCGGGTTAAGGAAATTTCAGTGTTCCAACAAGAATGAACTCCACATAAGAAGGAAAGAAATGTCTAGCTGGCTGGCGGTTTCAGTAATATATTTGTTGTCTTTAAAATGCAATCCAGACAGCTCTATGTGTAATTACTATGAGAAGAAATCAAGCCTTTTAGCCGCTCTCTCTATTTTAGCAACCATGCCTTTGCTTTAAAGTTTATCTATAGTATAAATTTAGTGGGTGCCGGGTTACCAGAATGTTATTTGCAGGAGAAATGATTGGCTTGGATTGGCTTGGTGGTCACCTGCATGTTTTTTTGGGAAATCATGGAACAAGCTTGATATCCTTTAGATGTGAAAAATCTATCTTTTTTTTCAGAGAGGTGGATGAAACAAGCTCCTTCATATGCTAAAGTTTTCCTGTTATCAACAAAGATTCTTAGAAATTCCTACTTTTTGTGGTTTACATCAATCATACTAAACTATGACATTTGCAAGTATGGCACAGATTTTTCTGTCATCTTCATCAAGGTTTCAATGGAGGCGTTCTTTACATTCCTACATTATTTAAATGTTTTGAGAGAGATCCAATTGCTAGGGAATACATATGCGAACATTTACTTCATATGTATCAATTTTGGAAATTTTTTTAATCCTATTTTTATTCTAGAAGTTTCTATCCGAATTCCTTCTTCAAGCAGTGAGCAGGACAAGACATTTATTTAATCCTATGGATCCCTGTTTGTTTTTAACATCAAAATTAAAAGAAAAGATGATCTTTCTGATGCCCTCTTTTGTCAGTGAAATGACTACAGGCTTCAATTTTTTTATCTATAATAAATAAGCTCTTTGTCCTTACAAGTTCTAGATTGTATTTTAAAATGATGTTGTGTCAAACACTTCTCTTTTTTTTTTTTGGCCATAGATTTAGGTGAGAACTTTTTAGGTGAGAACTTTAGAAACTCTAGTATTTGGATGTTCAAAGAAGTCTTAATCAGGATTCATGTTTAGCTCTTTTGTTTATTGAGTTGGCCTTCTGGTGAGTGCATGACATTTAAGTTTGGGATTTTATCAGCATGAATAATCATAGTCTCTATTCAGTAGGCCAAGGTTAGTTTTGAAGTTCAAGTTGTAATTTATTTTAATCCAAATCATCTTTCATATGTGATTTGTATTAATAGTATGATACCTCATTGTTTTTCAGCTTCGGAAGGTTGAAGAACATGACGTTTCTAGGAAGTTTCTTGTTTAGGCGGTTTATTTTTTTGTCAGTATACTGATCATTCTTTTGGTATATTAGATTCAATTTCCAAAGCTTCTCTGGTTTGTTTAACTTTCATCCTAATGATTTTCATTGTAATCCTACAGTTTTGGAATTTTATAATGGAGTTTTGGTATGAAATGGATACTCATTCCAACATTCCTGGTTTCTCACTAAGTTATATACTAGTTTTGTGATGCCAAATACTTACAAGTATTACCTTAGAAGAAAAATTCATGTCCATTCTCTTAACATCAATCAAAAGAAAAAGAAACTAATTTTTGTTAAATCTTTCAAGCTGCCTTCTATTTTTGAGCCAAATTCATATGCTCTTTGTCATAATGTTTTATGCCTATGAATATTTGAACATAATATGCATATTTTATGATCTTCTATCAAGATGTCAATCTTGAGAGGATAAGGTGGGTAAGCCTAGATTTGTAAGGAGCAAAAATTGTTGTTACTTTTCCTAGGAATCTTTAAATATTCGGGAATGGTAATCAGAATTTGAAGTTAACTGCTGCATATTATTCAGGAATGTAATGAAATCGAGAAAAAAAAATAATTCCGTCTTACCCACGTTATTGAGTCAATTTTAAAAACTGCTGCATATTATTCAGGAAGAAAATAATTACATGATTGCTTACTTGATTTGAACTGAATTTAAAGCTGAGTTGGGCCGTATCTTTAATCAAAATTTTAATGTTTTGGCACCAGCAGAAAATGGTTCTAGAATAGATTTACTGAGGAAGAAATTTATTGGCATTAAAAGACATGCATATTTTCCTTGAAAGGGATATAAATGCTTTTAATCATATTGCTAATCGGTAAATTAAAATAAGCCTCATTTATGAAATGTTGATTAGCAATGAATTTTCTTTTAATATAAAAGATTTCCATTCAGAGTTTATTTTAAAAAAAACATTTCTATAGAAATATATTTGCCATTTTTTCATCCGCTTTTTTAAATCTTTGTTCTTATGTTGATTCCTCCCCCATTAAAATATGGATTTTATTTTTTAGAGAACTGTAGGACGCATAGGGTCTTTTTGTGATAACTTTATCACGACATTGCTTTTTATACCGTCACCACAACTGCGTTTTACAACTAGATTTATTAAAATGTGCTAGAGTTAAGAAGCCTGCTATCTTTTTTTTTCAAAAAAAAAAAAATTATAATTACCATAAAAATTTTGCAAAATTATCAAAAAAAAAAAAGAAAAATTATAATTACCATAAAAATTTTGCAAAATTATTTTTTTCGCATAGAGTTTTTTTGGGGATACAAATCATGAGAATTGCATTGACCAGATTTTTAATATGATTTTAAAACTTCAATTCTTGTTTTGGCCTCCTTTATTCCATGAAATAAAATAATGCATTAAAAAGTCTATTTCCATATTTTTTATGGAAAAAAAATTATAATCAAGCTTAATCCTCATTTTGTATTAAATGGGATTTACGGATCACATAATATGTGACCTGCCTCGAGGTGCTTCTTGCCTTATTTTTCGTGAGATGTGCACACTTGTATCTGGGATTTTTCTTAAAAATATAAGTAAAATACGCTAATAAACATTTTTAGCTTACCCATATAATGTATAACTAGGATGTAAATGAAGCGGTTATTTTCAACATAATAATTATTTAAAAATCTAATCATAAATATTGATTAAATAATAGGAAGATATTTGAGATTTAAGACGAGGAGGAAGATCTTCATAATAGAGGATAAAACGAGGGAGATATTAAATAGTTATACATATGATTCCATTAAAAGGTTGAGACCTTTGAATTTGAAAACTCTAACCTGAATGTTTTTATATGTTTTTATTTTATAGTGGATAGTAGGAGTGGGAGAAATAATATTTGTACCACACTTATTTTAAATTGCAATGTTTTCACTTCTTTTTTTAAGTTTTTCTAACTATTGTTATTTCTTGATTTAATATTTGGATGTTAAAATGTTATTTCTTATTTTGAACAACTTTATGACATTTATTATGCTAGGGTGTTAATATGTTGCTTCTTATTAAACAATTTGAGCTTAAAATAATACTTATTTCATTTGCACAATTTGTTGATTTTGAGGTTTATGCCTCAAATTCTCTTGATGCTCATGTCTCTCTGCACGAATAAAAATATCTCAATGCCCCAATTGTACAATTTTAAACATTTTTTTTCTCCTTTTAAATATGGATTTATGTTTCTCTCCACTTAAATAAAAAACGCCGCAGTGTCCGATTGCACAATTTTTTAACATTTGTTTCCCCTTTAAATATGAATTTTTGTTATGCATTGGAGGAGATTACATATGCGACTGTCTTTTTGGGTTTTTCTAATTTCCTTGATTATATGAATTTTCCATTCTTTTTTCAAGAGTGTGGTGCACTATTTATTTAAATTGGATTAACGAATTGGAGATTCTTTTTTTAAGAGTGTGGTGCACTATTTATTTAAATTGGATTAATATGTTTAAATACATTTTTGAAGTTTTCATCTATTTTTTGTTTGACTCCTGCCACTGTTTGTCTTATCCTCTTATCCTCAAAGAGATGTTTGTGAAAATGCCATTTTTTAGGCTCATTATAGACACTAAAATGTTTTTTTTAATTTACAAATTCATTAAAATTGGGGAAAGTTAAATTATGTTAACACTTTATAGGATTTATTAATGATGGTTTCCTTAAAGTAGATTTGAAACTTTAAAGTTCATTTATCTAGTAAACTATAAAGTATACAATTCTTCACAAGAAATTGTAAAGTTTTGGGAGTTTGTTTTCTTAGAGGATTATGTTCTTCCGAATGACATGAACATCTTATTGTAGATCATTTATTTGTGATTCGGAGAATCTTGTGGAGTCTATTAAATATAAATTTAAGTTTTGTTCTTCTTATTTTCTTGAAATTAGTTATAGCATATCTGACACTGTGTTAGGGCTCTTAAAAGTTATTTAGGAAGTGAATATAGTGGGGAAATGGTTGTGGAATGGCAAGGGAATGAGAATATGAGCCATTTGCCAGATGTCTCGATTGAAAAAAAATAGAGTGAACTATGATTTTATGTTCGAATGAGCTATAAACTCTTCACTTGCAAAAGGAAGATGATACATCAACCCTCAGGGTAGAAATCAATGAATACTATTTCAAATCCCCAAAATAATGCTAATGTCCCAAAACAGAGAATACGACACATAGATAGTCTCCTTTAAGAAAATAACTCTAATTTGAAATAAAAAAAATAAGAAACATAGCTTAAAAGGGCAAAATTTTCTGCAAAAGTTGCAAATGGGACAAGAAAACTTACGCAATCTCGAGAGTATCTGATTCCACAATTTTGCAAAATCAGAGCTGTTTTGGGATCGTGGGATATCCAGAATTGCAGGATATCTGGGATCACATGATATCCGATCCGACGATTCTGCGGGAGCTCCTGCATCAATATCCCTGAGAAATCTATGAATATTTTTTGCATATCATACATGCATCAAATCTTATTGCTCTATTGATTACTCATGAATGGTTTGTGTGATAATTTTTTGTATGAATATTTTTATTAATTATGACTGTTACACATGTGCTCTAAATGTGAAGTGGGGATATGTGAAATTTAAAACGGATGAAAAGGTGATGGGTTGTCTATTTCTTGAAGGCTTCTTGATGGAATCTTCAAATAATTAATTTTTAGGAAAACATGAATTGAGACATACTTTCAAATCAGAGAATTCATCTATTTCTCTAGTTTTGATTGTATTTGATTTGATTTTATTTCGTGAACTTCCAAACCCTTTAATTCTTCTATTTGTATCCCTTTTGGGATTCACTTCCGACACATTTTCTGCATAAGTTATAAGCGTTTATATATGTTTTATTCTTAAAAGATATTTTTGAAGATGAAATAATGTCTAAAATTGATGAAATAATGGCTACTAAAAAAAAGCATCTCATTCAGGTTATCATTTATACCCTGTGCGATGGAGAGAAACATGCATGGATCCCCAATTTATGCTTAAATTTTCCTCATTAATGTTTCTTTTGACCCGGTAAAATTGTTGTGTTTACCTAATAGATCTTTATATTTGGCTTGCGATGGTTACATAATTCTCTGTGGACTGTCATTGCTAGTGTGGTGTTCATGTAATTGTAGCAATCCATAATTCTTATTTCTCAGTGCAAATTTTAGATGTTGGGAATTGCAATCTATTGGATTTCTGTTGATAGCTCTTTATATTATTTCTTTTCTATTTTTGTTATTAGAAAATACAGCGGGAATTTGGAATTTTGAATTTGAAATTTATCATCTATAGGGTAATGAAGTTATTACTTCTCTTCTGATCCTTAAAAAATTGCGGAATTAATATTTTTGGGTGGTTATCTTTATTTATAACTGAGATAATTTATTTTATGATTTCTTTCTATCTAGCTTTTATTTTCATAATTTTGATATTGTTTTGCCATGGTTATTAAATTTTATTTTCTATGAGTGCATGGTTTTTGATTAATTGGTCATCTTTTTATGGTGCTTGTTTTCTGTTTTGTTTTTCTTGTATGAACTGAATTGCCATTTACATTGAGGTTCTGCTTTTTTATTTTTCATCTCAAGTGTCCAATAGTTATCAAAATTTGGAGTGATGATACACGACATCATGCATGCTTAATTGTTGTATGTTGTTGTGTCCCTCGTTGCAGATCCGCCATAGCAAATCAAAATTTGGAGTATGTTGTTGTGTCCCTTGTTGTGTCCCTCTTAATTGTTGTATGTTGTTATAATCAAGGTGTTTGTGTTTATATTAGATGAAGCCTTTTATGGTATTCAAACATGCTGAAACTTGTCAGCAATCTAGCAAAGTTTGGCAACTTAATTTTTTTCATTTTTTTTCTTTTCCATTTGTGTGTATTGAAATTGTTTATTGGTTTCTTTTCCCTTACCAATTCTTTTTTTTTGTTTTGGAATTGTTATGTAAAATAACTATAATTTAGTTCCTGCGTGGTACCGTACGGTGACTTTTCGATTTGTTTGTTATGAAACCTTTTTCTTGATAACTTCAGGTAGGCGAGAATGAGCCATTTTTATCTGAACTCCTGTCAAGCCTTGCATCTACCGTTGCAGATCTTGAGCCTCATCAGATTCATACATTTTATGAAGCTGTATGTTGAATTTTTTCTTTTTGTTTTTTTGTTTTTTTTTTTTTTTTAAAATACTTTTCTGAAATTTCTTCATTTCGTAATGTTTTAAACCTTATGGCTTATTTGAGATTCTAATTGCAGGTTGGTCATATGATTCAAGCAGAACCCGATCCTGCTAGAAGAGATGAGTACCTGAAGCGGTTAATGGATCTTCCTAACCAGGTTGGAACATTCCAACTTATAGCAACCAAGTTCAAACTAATATTTATTGATTCATTCCATATATTTTTTTTATTCTTTTAAATGAATATTAGCTTTCTTTTTCTCAAATGTATGTGTGCACTTTGGTGCAGAGATGGGCTGAAATTATTGGCCAGGCTAGTAGAAGTGTTGATATATTAAAAGATCAAGATGTAATAAGGACAGTTCTTAATATACTGCAGGTATGCAATCTTTAACTGATAGATTTTTCTGGCCATCAACAAGTTTCTTTAGCCTGTTTGCTTTTGATATAGTAGGTTTGTGTATAGGTTTTCTTTGCCAATGTACAGCCTTTGCAATGTAGTATGCTCCTAATTGATCTTGGCTATAATTCAATTGTGTTTGATCTTTGGATCATTCTTACTAGTACTATTCTGTATCTGTTAGAATCTTTTATCTGGTCATTACAAGTTCTCTTTCTTTTTGGAATTAGTACTTTACTATTTACAATTATATGCCTTATTTATAAGTGCGTAGTGGTTTCTTCCTGCCAAAAAGATAAAAAGTTGCTGCAATTCCACTTTTCTTTCTGCAATTGTTAGTATTGACATGGTTATGTATCTGCAGTCAGCAAGGAAAAGCTTGTTATAACTTTCATTATTTTCTTCTTGTTATAAGCACTTAATTCTTGACCAGGAATTGTCATTTTTGTAATCTGATGAAGGTGCATTATTATGGCTTTGTGAAGGTTATTCACTTTCGTGCTAAAATACTGCCATGCACTTGGGCAATTTAGTGCTACTGATCAAGACTGCTACTGCTGTTTAAAGAAAAATAAACTTATAGTACTTTTGAACTGTCCTTCGTAAACCTAATTATGATTCAATATTTAGTTAATATACATGATTTAAAGCAGAATGTCACCTCCCAGAAGAGCTCTTAAGAGTGGTGGGCAACCTAGGACTTAAATACTGTTCTTCGACCTTACACCTAGCTGATGTGGGACTTGTTGTCCGTGACATTTTCCTCCACTCAATCACGTGACGCCCTTGTCACACCTTACACCTAGCTGATGTGGGACTTTTTGTCCGTGATATTTTCCTCCCCTCAATCACGTGACGCCCTTGTCACGGATCGACTCCTCCGAGGGCCCCACTGGACCATGAAGAGTCCACACACCTGGCAGACAGTAATCTGCTCTGATACCACTTGTCATCTCCCAAAAAAAGATCTTAAGAGAGGTGGGCAGCCTAGGACTTAAATAATGCTCTTCGGCCCTACACCTAGCCGAAGTGAAACTTTTTTCTCCGTGACAAGAAGCTTACATGTCCTCTAGCACGCAAAAACGCAGAAGTTTAATTACACATGGAAGAAATAGGAATTACATTTTTTTGCGTTTGTTATGATAATTAGAATAAATGCAGACTCTAAATCTGTTTTTTATGCTATCATGATGATCATGAAATTCTGATATTTAAAGGGGTAACACTATCTCTAGAACTGAATAATTCATGAATCGGCTTAGTAAATATCCACACTTGGAGATCAAGGACCACACGTTTTGTAGAACAGAAATTTTACTCACTAAGAAGATGACATGACATAACATAATGGAAGAAGATATGCTCTCTTATATGCTAGGAATAAAAAGTAGGTATCTCAGCGAATAGCATATCATTGTACAAGCTCCTTTTGAGCTATGGATATAGCAGGCATGTCATGTCATGTGTCGTCTCTTTAAAAACATGAATTTATATTTGCTAATCTACATTGTGTGAATGCACTTAAAATGGGCAAAGTATGATTTTTTATTATTTAGCTATGGCCTGCATGATGGTTAAAAAAAGACAATTAGTTTGAAAATAAACTTAATGACGGTAAATCAACCATGGTGCAAGATGGTTTATGGGCTTAAGGCTTTCTAATGCAATTATGTGATACGATGCATTTAAATCATGTAATGGAACTAAATTATTCACACATCACCAGGCCGCTAAACAAGCCAACAATGCACTTTATTTAAAATCAAACAATAAATATGAGTATTAGAACCCAAAAGCTATAATGCTTTGATAAATTCAAAGTACACATCGAGAAATTTGAGCCACACAAAATTAGCTAGAAATTATAGTAGGTTTTTTGTTTTGTAAAATTTGAATGTAATTACGAATAGAAGCAAGTCAATTATAAAGTATGCAGATGAAAATATATCATTGAGATAAACTATTTTTTGAATATAATCACGAATAGAAGCGAGTCAATATATAGTACGCATAAGAAATTAGATCAGAGAAAGAAATTACCCCATGTAAGTTTAGGTTGTAAGTAGATTACTTCCTTTGGAATCTTGCAGTAGCACTTGTAATTACTAAGTAGGAATCACATTTAATAACATAAGATTGACTAGTGGAAGGTGAAACGATTACTCAGTTAGGGTTGTTCAATTTCGTGCTTTAGAATCTATATTTATAAAATTGTCATTCCTTTTCTAGTAGATTAGTTTTGTGCAAAATCAACACAATCTAATGCCAGATATCTAGCTAGTTCAAGCTTTAGATCTTATTCAAAATCAAAATTTAAAATTGTTACATGCATAAATTATTATTTGAGTGCATAAGTGGATACAGATCATTAATTTATCAGTAACAATACTTGTTTTTATAGGTGAAAATAACAATGCACAATTTGCTACAAACATGCATCAGTTTACTTGATTTTGAAAAAAAATTTTTTTTGAATTAGAATCATTTAGATCATCACAAAATTAAAATAATTTTTGAATTAGAATCATTTAGATCATCACAAAATTGTTATTGCTTGGATTGATGGTATTCAAGAAATAAACTAATTTAATCTTATTATATCAAGTCATACAGGGCAAGTGGGCAACCTAGCATTTGTAAATACTAAATAAATCCTTACTCTGGTAGTGGCATGTCCAGGCTATTAAATTTCAAATAAAGTAGCATACACCATCTAATTAAAACAAATAAACTTTGCTTAGATCATTGCTTCATGCAATTCCATCTATGAGAATAAATTCTCTATTTTCATTGAAGTTGCCCATATTGAACAAATTTTGCATTTAATACTTATAATCAAAATCATGATTTCTTTTTCCTTTTTTTTTCCTTTACTTTTTATTTTTGCTTCTAGTAAAGGCAATCCATTAGTCTATTTTTGTATGTTTGCCTTACCGGTGAACAAAAGTGTTTTGAAATTAACAATAAACATTTCCTCAATAGCCAAGTTAACATCAGGAACAATTTTTTTAAAATTATGTTGCAGGGGATTGGAGTGAACTCACGTCAAATTGAAAGAGAATAATCTGATGAGGTTATAACAAACCTAAGAAATAAGCTCAAATCAGCACATTGAAAATTAATATAACTTAATCGTCCCTTATTTTTTTTTAGGCATTAAGTTCAATGCATTGCACAATTTTGGCCTTGCCTTTCTTGCATTTAATTTCTTAAATGTTTTTATGGAACTTTTTCTGAATTTAAATGCACCACGATTTTATCTTCCTGTCTGTACTCCGTATGATCTGTTGTTACATCAACATAAATATTGTAATTGTCATAGTAGTTTTTTTTTTAATATTCTCATGCAAAGGATATTCAAATTATGCATATTTTGTGAGAATTATTGAAAGTGAATGATCCAACGGGTTTATAACGAACTTATGAAATAAGCTCAAATCAACGCATCGAAAGTTAAAATAACGTAATCGTCCCTTAGTTTTAATTTTTAGGCATCAAGTTGAATCCGTTGCAAAATTTATGGCCTTGCTCTTCCTGCATGTAATTTCTTAAATGTTTTTATGGAACTTTTTTTGAATTTAAATGCACCATGATTTTATCATCTCGTCTGTACTCCGTATGAGCTGTTGTTTACATCAACATAAATATTGTACTTTTCATGGTAGTTCTTTCTTTTTATATCCTTATTCAAAGGATATTCAAATTATGCATATTTTGTGAGAATTATTGTGCAAATGCTTTAGATTTGAATTTTACTGAAAGATTGATAAGTTTTATGGAGTTTCTTGGTTGAAACTCATAGAGATTTCAAATGGACTCATGTCAGATGTATGACATTTATTAGACAACATTACAGCTCACGAAACTCCTATTTCTATAGTTTCTCTAGTTTGCAGATAATAGAGAGTGCAGAACTTAAGTACTGTTTCTATTTTCTTTGAAAGAGGTTTTCAATGAATTTTAATTCTCAGTCATAAATAATTATTTGGGTAATTTATGCAATTTATTTACATAGTTTAAAAATTACCTTATTTTTGTTTAAGGCATTTATATACTTATCACTCAACTTCTATGTATTGTTATCTATCACCAAAACTTTGGTTTTAACATTTATACCATCCAAATTTTTCATATTACATAAAAAAATACCACCACTTTAACTTGTAAACATCTTTTCATGCATAGGTAAGTTGGTATGTATGTAAATCTTCCAATTTATTTTTCGAATGTGATTTTACAACAGTGTCTGAAAACCATCACTACAAAAATAGGTCATTTTCTCTTGTTTGTTGTAAACCCAACTCAAAAGCCGTATTAACATCCTCTCAAACCTTATATGGAATTGTTGAATGACTGATCAATCTCTGTGTTATATTTTCTACTTTTTGCGAACTCATACATTGTGATATAACACAAGCCATTTATCTTTTTATGTTTATCCAAATATGCTTATTCTAAATTATTCCAATGGTCTTATTCTTACAAAAATCTCTAACAACACCACCATGTAGTTCTAGCGTCAGGAAGTATCTCAAAATATGCATTAGGAATGAAAAGTTTACACTTTAATAAAGAAACTATCTTTAGCTTGTTATGTTTTTCAAGCAAGATGAATTATTATTAAAGTCTTTACTAATGTCAGTTTCCTCTTTTATATGATCACCTATCACATTAACCTGCGCTGTATATAGAAGGATTGGAACTTTGCTTAAGCATCAACATCTTTTTATTAGTTCCAGTACATTATTTTTGGTTAAATGAATATTCATATAAATATTCAACCCGCAAGTATTTCTACTTATTTTATGAACTTTAATGGTTGAAGTGCATTACAAACTGTCTATGTAAGGAACAATGCCTTCAATAACCTGGTCCTTACATACATAATAGATAACTCTTATCAGAGTTTGGATATGTTTGTGGCTTCATATATTCTATTACTAAAGAATGCAATCAGATCTTCCTTCAATACCAACACC